ACTTCTGTGTGTGAGTTGTTGCTCCCCTCCCATCCTATTTCTCTGTGCGAGTTGTCCCATCCGTGCATGCATTCATCCATCCATACACACTGCATCTCAGAGTCGAAAAACCACAATTTACTGTATTATCCACGAGGAACGCGTTGAAATAAACCTACCTACATGTTGTGCATATATGTAGTATACTAGATGATGATGGCGTAGAAAGACGAACAGCTCAAAGCACTATTCTCGCGTGATACATGAACCTTCTGTCACACGTGATCAGCATGTACCAATCAACATCATACATAGACGTAGCTTTGCGAGCAATACATATGTATATACATATATATATCGTCACAAACAGAACATATGTATATATACATATATATTGTCACACTACGAATCGGAGCGCAAAGGCGGAAAAAGGCAAAACAAGGAAAGGAAAAGAAGGATACATATATTGTCACAAGATATCAGATTTTGTATATAGTGTCACATGATATTTATATATATATCGTCACAAACAGAACTGCCCGGTAAACCGTAGGCAGAGAAAGAGAAGAGGACAACAAACGAGGGGCTGTGACAAACTGTTTCGTCGGAGTTTCACCGACTCATCAGGAGGCTGAACCCTCAACAGTCTGCAGAATCCCCTCACTGATTACACTGTAAATGATAATCTACCTTAACCAAAATCAAAGTAGACTATCACTCACCCACACCAGATGGAAAACTCTACAGACTGTCGGTTCACACCCCATCACAAGCCAGCAAAACATCCACGAAACAAAGAAAGGTCTGTCACAGCCAACAAATACACTCCAGATCGTGAAACGGACCTGCCCGGTAAACCATAGGCAAAGAGGGAGAAGAGGACAACAAACAAACGAGGGGCTGTGACAAACTGTTTCGGCGGAGTTTCACCTACCGACTCATCAGGTATATCGTGAAACAGAACTATATATATTACATATAAAGACATATATAAGTCTATATAATTGTCAAACAGAGCTTCGCAGTAAGCCGTAGTAGGCAGAGAGGGAGGAAGCAGAGGACAACAGACGAGGGGGCGGTGACAGACTGTTTCGTCGGAGTTTCACCTACCTACTCATCAGGAGGGTATATGTGTAAATATATCATCATCATAGAGAACTGGCCGGTGAACCGTAGGTACAGATGTATATATTGTCACATTGCGAATCAGAGCACAGATGTATATATTGTCACATTGTGAATCAGAGCGCGGAAGCGAAAAAAAGGGAAAGAAAAAAAGAAAAGGAAATAAAGGGGAAGGGGAAGAGGTAAGGAAAGCTCCACCAGTTCATAACCTCTTACGTACAAGGCCAGCCACGGGTTCAGCCTCCTGATGAGTAGGTAGGTGAAACTCCGACGAAACAGTTTGTCACAGCCCCCCCTCGTTTTTGTTGTCCTCTTCTCCCTCCCTCCCTCTCTGCCTACTACGGTTTACCGGGCAGCTCTGTTGACGATATATATTGTCACATGATATCAGAGCGCCTAAGCGAAAAAAACAAAAAAACAAAAAAATCTTAAATTCGTTTTTAATCTTCTTCCTTACAACTCCCCCTGTTCAGAACCTCTAGCTCTGTTGACGATATATGTGTACGTATACAACAGGTTGTCACAGCCCCTCATTTGTTGTTCACTTCTCCCTCTCTGCCTACGGTATATACATATATACACGCGAGTATGCATCCGTATACACATGTACGTATCATCGTATATGCATGCATATATACGTAGCAAGAGAAAAGGGGGCGAAGAGATAGTGCGAGACATCGTTATCATCGAGGAGAGGTAAGTCCTCCTGAACAGTGTCCTGAAGCCCCCCTCCTCCTCCCGCCTCGCTCGTCTTTTCCCCACTTACTATTTTTTATTTTCTACCTTCTCCCGCCTATTTCCTGCCTGCCTTCTGCCGCCTCTTTGCTCCCCCTTTACCCACCTCTTTTGTCCCCCTTTACCCGCCTCTTTTGTCCCCCTTTACCCACCTCTTTTGTCCCCCTTTACCCACCTCTTTTGTCCCTTCTCCCACCTCTTTTGTCCCCTCCTTCCGCCTCTTTCGTCACTTCTAACGCCTCTTTTGCATTTCACACACTACGTAAGCATAAGCATATGACGAAGAAAAAGGGGAAAAAAAAAAAAAAAGCACCTCTTTTGTACCGTAACTGTAATAATGGTAACATTATATCATATACCACATAAATTGGGGAACACGGAAAAGAGGAAGAAAAAAAAAAAAAAAAAAAAAAAAAAAAAAAAAAAGGGGGGGGGGGGGGGGGGGGGGGGGGGGGAGGTAAGGGCGGACGATCGGTAAAAGACGGTTTCGTCGGGTTCCTTTTTCTTTTTCGATTTCTTTTTGTGCTTACGTCGATTTCACAGCGCAGATAAGATATCCTCTTTTGTGCTTGCGGCGGAGGACGTAAGCACAAATCCTCCGCCTGGTTTCTGTGGAAAAGATAAATATACATATAAAAAAAAAAGGAATAGATATGTGCGTACGCGCTATGTGTACATGTTTAATGTGCAAATAATTGATACACAACATACAAAATATATTATATATACGATATATATCGATATATATATTGTCACAAAAATGAACTGCCGACAGCAAACCGTAGGGGCAGAGAGGGAGGGAGAAGAGGACAACAAACGAAGGGCTGTGACGCCGAGGATTATATGTTTTTTATTTTTTTCACAGAAACCAGGCGGAGCGAACGATTTGTGCTTACGGAGGAGGGTAATGCATTTTTGTTTTTTCTCCACAGAAACCAGGAGGAAAAGAAAACCTACTCAAGCAATCACGTCTGGAGTTTATATATGTGTGTACGCGCGCTGTGTACCTGTTTAATGTGCATATATATTGTCACAGAACTACCGAGTGCAAAAACGTGAAGTAGAAGAAGAAATAAGATGAGCGAAGAGAAGAAAAAAAATGAAAGGACAGACAGGCAAAGAGACAGACAATGTACTGCATATTGAATCTACTATGTATAAAAATATAAATCAGGAATATTATACTATTATATAAAAATATAAATCAGTTCAAAGTAGTTTAATCTGTGGTCAGGGAGGTCTGGACAAACTGTTCGTGAGGCTTTTTTTTTTTTTTTTTTCATTTTCCATGGACTGTTCTCTCACAACAAAAACCGAGGGTGTGACATATATCAGAGCGCAAAAGCGAAAAAAAACATTAATGGATACATTAAACATGATGTACAGGTAACGCATGCATAATTATACTGAGTATGTACATAAGAAATACATATTTACAGGTAACGCATGCATAATTATACTGAGTATGTACATAAGAAATACATATTTAGCTCTATGTATTATATACATACGTAAATCTGCAAGCAAATACAGAGAACAAGCAATCACGAGCGCGTTTGCGTAAAAGAAAATCTACTCAATCTATCCAGCAGCAAAACGCAAGGGAGGAGAGGGG